GATAAATGATAAAACAAACAAACTGTACCATATCCAAAGCCATAGAAAGTAGTATTACAGAGCTATAAAAAGGAATGGTGTAAAATGCAGGCTACAATATGAATGAAACTTTAAAGCACAGTAAGTAAAAAACCGTAATTCTACACATTATTAGCATCACAAGATTAAAATTCTTAACCCAAAAAAAATGTAAGAAGCATAAAAATCATACCCTAAAAATTACAAAATGCAACCAAGAGAAATTAAAGGATATCTACATAAATGGAGAGCCACTTCATGTTCACCAATTAGGAGACAGCGTTATCAAGGTGACAATTTCCAAAATGAAGTTTTGAGTTAAAAGTTTCATGAGAAAGACCAGATGTGGTGGTGCATGCCTGCAATCCCAACACTTGGGAGGTTGAAACAGGAAGATCTTTCAAGTCCAAGTCCAATCTGGGCTACAAAGTGAGTTCAAGGCCAGCCTGAACTGATGCAAAGTGAGACCCTATCTCAAAATGAGTGGAGGCAGGGAGTTCTACAAGAATTTTTTCCACTGTAAACAAACTGATGGTTAAAAAAAAAAAAAAAATTATGGAAATTCAAAGGACTAAAAATTACCCTAAGCATTTTGGAAAAGTAAAAGCAAAGTGGGCCAGCTTATACTATCTGATTTCAAAACTTCTCACACTACATTAATCAAGACAGTATGGTACTGGTATAAGAACAGGCACATGGATTAACAGATCACACCATCAGGCCAGAAATAAGCCATTACATTTACAGTTAATTTATTTTCAATGACAGAGCCAACACAATTCAGTCTCTCCAACAAATGGTGCTGAGATATTCGTGTGCCAAAAGATGGGCTTAGATCATTACTTTGACCACACACAGAAATTAACTGAAAATGGATCACAGGCCTAAATGTAAACTTCTAGAAAAAACATACAAGAAAATCTTCATGACAATGTGCTACTCAAAAACTTCTAGATATTACAACAATAACATGATCCCCCCCAAAAGTTGATTTTTATGTCATCAAAACAAAGCTTTTGTGCTTCAAATGACACTATCAGTATAATGAAGACATGCCACAGATTGGAAGAAAATATTACAGAGCACATATCTGAAAAATATTTTTATCCAGAATACATTCAGAACTCTTACAACTCAACAACACAAATTAATCAAAACAGTAGTTATTTTTTGTTGTTGTGGGAGTTTTTTGTTTGTTTTTGTTTTTTGAGACAGGGTCTCACTCTGTAGTTCAGGCCAGTTTTGACCTCACTATGTAGCCCAGGCTGGCCTCAAAATCTCAGTGATTCTCCTGCCTCAGCCTCCTAAATGCTAGGATTATAATCATGCACCACCATGCCTGACTAAAATAGTAGTTTAATAGGCCTTTCACCAAAGAAGACACATTGAATAAGCACAGGAAATCATGTTAAATACTATTAATCTTTAGGAAAATGCAATCAATAACTGTTGTTGGTGATCCTGGCCTTCTGAATTACACACCTAGGCATTTTTAGTTTCATTTTGGGTTGGGACAGTCTCACTAAATTACTCGGGCTGAGCTCAAACTCACAACACTCTTTGTCTCAACCTTCCAAAATACTGGAATTATGGACAAACACCATCATGCCCAGCTTAAATAACTTTTACTATAGTGTACTGAGATCATTGCTCACAATTTATTATTGATTCTTGCTAATCACTTACTTCCTAATTTATAAATTGAGCTTTATTTTATACATGAATAGAAAAAACAACATATAAAGGTGACAGGTTTTTTCAGCAGTGTAGTAAACAGCTAAAAGAAGCCTTATTAACTCCAAAGACAGATCGAGGGCAGATGGGTCAGATAGATCCTCTGGCCTGTAACAAAGAAAGCTGAGGCTTTTATAGACTTTTGTTAGGGTGGAGTTTGATGGCAATGTTTAGAAATACCTGAGGAATTGATTAGGGTCTTCCCTGAAGTAGCAAGAAAGGTGAAAGGAAAATGCACCCTGGGCTGGGTTGGAGAAGAAGGGGGAGGTGGTAAGGGCTTCAGCCATATTAGATGACCACCACAATAATTCAGCAATTCACACTGGGGCCAGAACCTAGGGTTCAGTTATTAGAGATGGTTTCAGACATCTCTAACACCTCTTGAAATGTATCTCACTACTAACGGTGAGAGGCACCATAACAGAACACTATTCAGGACTGTGAAAGAATGGGTGCTAGTACGTGATATAATATGGATGCACTCAAAACCATTATAGTAAGTTAAGAAACAAGAAGGAAATACCACTTACTATATAATTCTGTGTGTCTGAAATGCTGAGAAATCTACAGACAGAAGCAGCTGTCCACCCAGGGCTGGGCATGCGCAAGGCGCTCGCCAGGCAAAGGGTATAGGGGACTTTATAACAGGAATGAGTTATAAAATTGGCTGGTGGTATTAGCTCCATGCCTCTAAGTGTACTGATAATGGAGAAATTACACCTACTCTTGGTAAGTTTAAGGTGTCAAAGTGTAAGGCTGTCATTAATAAATATAGAACCATATAAATTTGTGATGGGAAAGTACCATACACATGAAGCACTTTGGGAATACAGCATTAAGTTTTGAAGGTGAAAGATGGGTAATAGAGGAACGTCCAAAAGAAAAGTCAGTCTAATCAAGCCGCTGTGTGGTTGTCTGCATGTGGTATCATCACTGTTTCTGGGAAAAAACAAAAAAAGAACAAAAAAAACCCTGACTATTGCAGCACACTCTATGAACTGGCTACTCAAAATCCTGCCCTTCCACCCTCACCTACGACAAGAATTAGGAAGCTCAGCATCCCCTTGCCATACTCCACTGCAGTAAGGACATCTGACCTAGTTCTGGTCAATAAAATGCAAGGACACCAACTTAGCCTTCTTGGAAAAACATTTCAAACTGGCTCACTCTACTGTTGCAAGATTCCCAAACCAGTAGGCTGCACCTGTTCAGCAAACTGAATAAAACAGTTCCAGGGTATTTTCTACGATTAGCTGCACTTCTCACACTGTCCAATCTTGCCAGGTACAGTGGTGCCCACAGGTAATCCCAGCACAGGGGAGGCTGAGGCAGGACTGTCACAAGTCTGAGGCCAGTCTAGGCTACACAGTGAGTTCAAGGCCAGCCTGAACTACATAGCAAGACTCTGTCTCAAAAAAAAAAAAAACAGAACTGTTCAATCTAAGAGCATGCATCCCATTCTCATTTCTAAGTCTTAAAGTGAATGTCTTCCAGTAGCAGTTACAATAAGAAATTCAGAGATCCAAAACACTCTAATCAACAGCTGACTCTTACTTCCATTGTTTTAAATCTATAATCTGCCTTTTATTAACCCCCAGACTAGCTTCTTAATTGTAAAATGAGTTAATTTGCCTTTCACAATTTCTACAATGAAAAATTTCTATTGCTGAACAATAATGCCTTCTCCTCCATCCATGGTCCTCCTGCCAGACAGAAACACTGTGACAGAGAGCAGCACAAGCTTGAGTCCATGGTCTGTCTCAGCCATGATCCTGAAGGTCCCACTGGGCCATAAGCAGCAGCCACATTCATGTCCGAATGAATAGTTTACAGACAAATGAAAAAAACAGTAAGGTCAAGGATGATTGCTATGGCTTGTGTATAGATGTTCCCCCAAAGCCTCATGTAGTCATGGGTGGGGCTTTTTCATATATGGTTCTATCTAGGGTGTGAGATTAAGGACCTGCTGGGGTTAAGGACCTGCTGCTGGGATTGATTCACAGTATGATGCTAGGAGTGAGGGTGTGTATGCTGCCCATCCTGCCATGCCACCTTGCCTTGGAGCCAACCAATTATGGACTGAAATCTCTATAAACTATGAGCTAAATAAACCTTTCTTCCCTTAACTCAAGGTGTTGGATATTTTGTTTTAGCAGTGGGGCAAGTAACTAAGATCACTTCATCACTGTAAACCTTACTTATACAACTTCTATTTCCATTATTTTAAGTCCTAAGTCACAACGACTTTCCTAAAAGCAGCTTTTGCTAGTGAACTAAATGAGATCAAAGAAAATAAATTTTCTGTGTAGATCCACTAGCATCAGCAAAGTTAAGTATTTTGCTACTAATACACCCTGCTGCTTATATAGCCTAAGAAATTAAATTTATATAAATGGTCATATTTTCAGGTAAAGAAGAAGATAAATAACTATGACACAATCACCTACCTTTTTTCTACAAGGCTAATTGCATGCAATTTGAAAAAAGTGGTATTTAAAAATTGATGCCCACTGACAACTTGCATAGGCTCAGTTCAAACTAAAAAGTTATCACTAAAAATAATAACCTAGAATTTAAGCATTACATGCCAAGAGTCTTAAAACACTAATATGCAGCGATCACAGATAATACAATTTGTACCGGCTTACTTCTGTGAGACTGTTCAGTGACCATTTTTGTTACATCTTTACAGAAACCAACCTAATTACAACAAATGGAATAAGTATTTATAGTGGTTTAAATCCCCAAAACAAATCTGCCACTGAAAGAAAACTCAAAAGTGAATACTACTAGAGAAGGCTCATAATACTTAATTGTTAAAAATATATTCCAATTATGATAGGGAGAATTAGACAATCCCTAAATCCTTTGCCTTTTTTGGTACTGGGAATTGAACCCAGAGCCTCTGCACTGAGCTCTGACCATCCCAACAAACCCCTGCCCCGTGCGCTTTTATTTTTGAAACAGAACCTCACTAAGTTGTGCAGGCTGGGCTCAACCTTGCAGTCCTCCTCCTTGGCCTCGCTGACTGTTGTAATTATCAATTTTTAAAACCTAGGCATCAAAAATCATATACACCAAAAACAGAACATATGCCACTTATGCTTATTAGCTACTAACTTGCTTATTTAGCCACTAGCTCCTTTTTTTTTTTTAGTGGATAATGGACTTTTTTTAACTTGCACTTACTACAAATTAGACAACAAAAGTGTTTAATAAGATACAAAACACTCCAGAAAGATACAAACCTTAAAAAACTCTTCAAGCTGTTTACTGTTGTAAAGAGCAGGAATGTTGGCAGAGAACTGCAGCAGGTCTTCGGCACACTGTCTTCTCTCTTCTATGACGGCTTCATCAAATCGCCCTGGAATTAAATACAAATCAGCACTTACACAGAGAACTATCAAGCACAGCCTCATGACGTTTACACCTGAAGATGGGAAAGCAGCTCCAGCTGGCCACTGCGAGCATGCTGAGCTTATTACGCAAGCTTCGGAAGTCACATCCAGGCTCCATCACAATTAGACTATCCACTGATGAACATATAGTATGTTCACAATCAAGAGGGCCTGACAGTGTAAGACATTTACTCTGGTGATCTGAAACTAAGCCAAAAAGATAATTTTCAAGAATTCAAATGGTTTGGTCGGGGAAACAGCTCAGTGGAAAAAGTGCTTGCCTGGCAAGCACAAGGTCCTGAGTTCGATCCCTGACACCACAAAAAAAAAAAAAAAGAAAGAAAAAATTCAAATGGTTCCCTCTCAGAATTTCACGCTGCAATTACTCATATACTTTTCCCTTTTTACTTCCTTATGATTCATAATGTGACCAAAGAAAGGAAATTATGAGAACATCCTTATTATGGATGAGCAAAAACCTCAGCTCAAAACAAACAGCTTTTCTGCTGACTTCCAAGTGTGACACCAGGGCGCTGGTGACAGAAGCTTATGAGAAGAAAGGGGATGCTGCGCCTGCAAGTTCCGTTCTGCAAAGGGACAGAAAGGTGGTCTGCATACGATTTTTTTAATAACATATAGAATCTGAAGGTTGATGAGACATTTCCAAGTACAAACATTTGGCACAACTCAGGTAAGATCATCAGTCAGCATCTGTCACACACTGATTGCAAGGTAAATCTTAAAAATACAGAAACAAAGAGGCCAGGAAGATGGCTCAGCAGAATAAGCGCTTGCCTGGCAATCTCAAGGGCCTGAGTTCAATCCCTGGTTTCGTCAAAAAATAAAAATAAAACTTATCCTTGACCAGTTAGAAGCAACCCAAATGGCTGATGCTGATGATTCTTGACTCCATCAAAAGTTTATTCACAGGGAAAAAAGAAACCAAGCAACCAAGATATTCAGGTGTGAATTCCCTCAGCCAGGGAATACCAAGAACCACTCTACTTAAAGAAAGCAGACTCATTCCTCCTGGCAAGTAGAGAAAATGCTCACCATGGAGACACTGAAGTGCTGTACCACAAGGGCACAGAAAGGACTCATGCAACTGTGATGTCAGGTGCTCTGAAGACAACCTCAAGGGGATGAAGTTTCACCCAGACTGGATGCTCTCAGGAGGTGGTGACAATTCTATGATGCTATAAAATCTATGTCATTCTATGAGTCTATGATTCTTTTTTTTTTATTATTGTTTCAGTTACCAGACTTCACTTTCCTGTGAGAAAGAGACCAGCAGCTCTGACAGCTAAGTGAGGACCTCAACACCATTTTCTCCTTAAAAATGTGTTGGGAGGCTGAGGCAGGAGAATTCTTATGAATTCAAGGCTAGAGTAAATTTCAAAGGAGTACAAGGCCAGCCTAAACTGCCTAGAGAAACCCTTTCTCAGTGAGGAGGTGGTTCTCGCCCGTGTTGTGTGTGTGTGTGTGTGTGTGTGCGTGTGTGTGTGCGTGGGTGTGTGAGTGAGGGAGCGAGTGAGTGTGTGAGTGTGTGGGGGCATTCGGCTTGTTGTTGTCGCCGACTTCCCCTCCCCTGCGCCCCTCCCCCTCCCCACCGCCGCTGCAGTGGCCGCTCCTTGGGCCGTAGGAAATGAGCGATAACGATGACATCGATGACATCGAGGTGGAGAGCGACGCTGACAAACGGGCTCATCATAATGCACTGGAACGAAAACATAGGGACCACATCAAAGACAGCTTTCACAGTTTGTGGGACTCGGTCCCATCACTCCAAGGAGAGAAGGCATCCCGGGCCCAAATCCTAGACAAAGCCACAGAATATATCCAGTACATGCGAAGGAAAAACCACACACACCAGCAAGATATCGATGACCTCAAGCGGCAGAATGCGCTCCTGGAGC